ATAATGATTCTAAACACACACACATACATACACACCCACATAAGGGAGTGTATATAGCAAAATATTAACTGATTGTTTCTAAGCGGTGGGATTCTTTTTTTGCCTACCTGATTTTTCTGAAGTATCTACAATGAACATGTGTAATTTGTGAAATTGAAAAATGTATTCATTCAAGAAGTTTTTAAGGCTGTTTTCATAGGCTATGAGTAAATGTGCTTGGGAATAAAAAGGAGGGACAAATGTGAGAAACAATTCCAGGCAACAATTACCAGAACTAGGCCATTGATTAGTGAGAAAAGGCAAGCAAGGAAGAGGGATCACGGGCGACTGCTTTGAATAGTGGATGACATTTTATAAAGACAAAGATTTTTCTTTTTAAAGGAAAATAGCACAAGCTTACCTCCTAGCACATGCACAAATATCCTTCATCTCTTCTGTCCTTGACTGAGTCTGACCATCTCTACTGCTCTTTGTCCTCCGGATGGTCCTTGCGGAGTCCCTGGCTTGTGCTGACAAGACCTTTGTGTCTCTTATTGGCTGCTCACTCCTGGGCACTGAACAAACAAAACTGAAGAAAATGCAGTATTTAAAAAAATTAGCAAACAGACCACCTAATTGTTAGCCCCACAAAGTAATTGGTAGCTTTGTTAAATGTCACTGTTTAATTTTTATGTCAGCATTGTCAGCTCATTTAAAGCATAGATCTTTTTTTTAAATAGACCACTACCTGGTAGGGAGGATGAGGGAAAATGTTAATTAATTAGAGGTTAGACATTGATAAAATCTTTTATTTAGACATAATATCTCTGAAACAATAACTAAGTCAATGTGAAAACTCCATTCCATTTACACAAAATATTTTTGCAAGTACATGCCACAGAAAAAAGTGATCATAAAATCACTAACGTTATAATATACAATCTGTGCCAGGCACTCTGCTAAGGCCTTTACACGTATTATCTCATTTAATTCTTACAATAACCATCTGAGGTAGATACTATTATTATCTGTATTTTACAGGTGAGAAATGAAAGCACAGAGAAATTAAGTAACTTGCTCAAGGTCACACAGCTAGTAAGTGATAGTGACCTACCTCAAAACTACCAGTTTAAATAAGATTAAATTAAAAAGTACACCCATGAGGTGTGTAAGATATCATACAGCTGCTGCAGGGGAATGTACAAAGACTTTTCCTTTGAGAAATTAAAAATCTAGACATACATCATAAATTGTTAAACATGAGAATTAAACAAACATTCCAGGAGCTCTTTTTAAAAGCCTACAGATGTACCAAAGAATGGTTTAACTTTATTCAACTTTCTGCTTAACAAGTTTACATTATACTGTATTAATGAACACACATAATGTTTAAGCTCATCATTGTTAAAATTTTCCCTGGCAGCTAACTATTTCAACAGAAAGTAATGCTTATACAACAGCCAAAGAGTATGCACATGAGGTTGAAGCACCAACGCATACCAATGGCATCCTGGATTAACTGAGGGCATTTTTGGACCAGCATATTGCACCCACTCTTTGGCTCCACCTTAGCCCAGTTCTCTGTTCCCACTGTTACTCATCACGGAAAGGCATCCCCTCACCGTAGGGATTTTAGGCACATCCTGGCAGCCATCTGCAAAGGGCCCTTTATCCTTGCATAGTTGCTCTCCTTGATGTGGATGATCAACTATCTCAGAGATAATTCGGTTAGTGAGACCCATGTTACTTGATGAAATAAATAACCTAAATTGATGAAACTGATTGATGGCTTTGTAACCCCTGAAAAAACTTCATTGAAAAAATTAATGTGACTCCTTGGACCTGAAATCGTCGGCTGAATAACTAATCTTTTCATTCATTTTTCCACCAATTATTTTGGCATCCTTTAAAGGTAGTCAGAAGATAAATGCTACCCAATTTCCTTGTTTTTCATTTTTCTTGGCCTCTCTGTGAGGATGTGGATGTAAATGTCAGTTTGTACAAAATGGAGCTGGCTGAAAATGTTTACTTTTTATGAGGGTAAGGACATATATTTCTTGCATTAGCTCCTTTCAATTATGGTAAAAAATTTTTCAATATTTCATAGGAGGTAGTGACTTTTTGGCTGCTGTATGAGTTAAGGTAACACTAACCTCTGTTATAGATAATTCTCCCAAATCTCAGCAACTTAATCCAATGGAAGTTTATTTCTCAATCACATGAAGTTGATCACTGGCAGGGTCCCAGACTGATGGAGGCTCTACCAGCCAACAGAGAGCAAGGACAACGGGACAGGCAGCTTTTAGAAGCCCTGTCTGGGAGTGACACACAGCGCTTTGTCCCATTTCATTGACCAGAACTTAAGGCCTTCCTAGAGCTGTGGGAAGTGAGGAGGTGCCCTTTGGCAGGCCAGCCTCTTTCCAACAACTGCATACCATAGAAAGGGAGCATGTATTTTTTGGTGAAGGATAGCTAGCCACCTCTGCTATAAGGGCGAAGTCTTGAGAAATTGTATTTTAGAAAGAGTAACCTCCGACCGGGTCTTTTTATATAAATACTTTGTGAAGCTTACCTAAAGTGACAAATTTCAGTAAAACAAATTAAATCAGTGTCTATTGATTGAGCACCTACTATGTGTACATCTCTTGATAAATCCCATGGAAAAGTTGGGGATGGGTGGGTAGCTACCAAGATGAATGAAACATGGTTTGTCTCTCCAGGAAGCATGGCAAGACAATGAACTTTTGTGTACATTACATACAATCCATAAATGTGATTTAAAACATACTTCTTCTAGAAAAAAAGGAAAATGTTTGCAAAAAGAATATTTGTTTTCTTGTCTGATTAAACATTTTCACTGTAGGAAAATTTGGAAAATACACTGTACAAATCCAAAAAATCCTTTAAATGTCCCTAATCCTATCACACAGAAGCAATCATTGAATATTTTTCCTGTTGATATTATACATATCTATATTTAAATATTGTGAGGATAAATGTCAAAGCATTGAAATTAAACACATCAGTTGACCTATATTCACATATTTGTAATCATGAAGAAATTCAAGTGAGAATGCCAAAATAAACTGTTTTTCTGCACTGGTAGCTGGAACACCAGGGGTCATGATTTATCACTGAGAGAGACGGAAGGTACAACAGCTACACCAACTTTTAAGCATCTAACAAGTGAAAGCATCCTGCTGCAAAAATAATCACCATAAAAATGCATTGAAATCCCCTACATTTATTCGACATATGGTGTGTGCAAGGACTATCAGAACACATTTTAGGAGAAATGGTGCAAAGGGCTGGGGGTATTAGGAGAACTTCTGGCAGTAATAACTGTCCAAAGGCAATTAAGCTCAGTCAGGAGCTCCCCTACACTGGAAGTGCTGGAGAAGCTGGAAGATTCATACTCTGAAATGCTGAAGAGGAGATCTAAAGAGATTGGACAGCAGATGGATGCTCCAGTCTTTTCCCACCTACACTGCATAGATATACCTCATACATGGCTACCCACATGCTCCCTGCAAAGCAGCTCTGGAACAGATCTTATTTGAGCTGTTTGGGATTACACATCTGTGATAAAACTGGCGTAATCAGAAGATCTCCTGGTTAGCTGGTTGGCCAGAAACGGGGCTTTCCTGGCTCTGAGGGAGTAAGGAGTTAGCGCATCATTACTGGCACTCCAGGGACACCCTTCCCCCACTTTAATGGGGAGCAGGAGTGGAAGGGAAGGTGGAAAGTGGAAGCAGAGAACCAAGAAGATAGATGTCCAGAGTTGAAAGGTGACAGAAGCCACAGGTGTCTTCTCAGGAGGCTCAGAAGTAACCCCAATGCCTGTAAAGGGCTGGTCTGCGGACCATACACTCCTTTCTCTGTTTGGCGGCCTCCCTTCTCTGCCCCCACCCTCTCTTATTCCAGGTCTGGCTGCAGCAGAATAGTCCGAATTCATCTTGGTTCTTTCCAATTTGAGCCATCGACACCCAGGTGACACCGTATGGAAGGCATCTTACGAAAAGATAGTTCTTTGCCATGTCATTAATTACGATTCACTCAACAGCTGCACCTTCTGACCGCTTACATCAGATTAGAGGAACTCTTCAACTCTGAATGCTGAGAAAAGTAATGGTCTGTAAATTATGCCATCACGTAGGCAAAAATCATCTGACTAGTCATAGCATTTTGACTTAATTGACCATTGACGTTAAAGAATTTTGTTCACCTCCCCCTTCTTGTCCACTCCTCAGCCAACTCACCTTAGCCGTTGTGAAAACAAAACAAAACTCCGCCATGGCTTTGAAATAAAATTGCATTATAAACAATTGGTAGGTGTGTTTCACCTAAAAGTGATCTGAGCAAGTGCCACAGAGTAAGTAGACGACCACCGAAGTTGTGAAGTATTTCCTGTCCTGACCAGGGTTGCGTTTCTGGAGAATATTTAACAGGGAGAATTTTAATGCTTTTCAAGATGTTGAAACTAAAGAACAAATATTGACCCAGAGGGCACCACAACTCTCCTGAAAAAGAGTAAAATACATCCTTTATAAAATGAAAAACTATTTGGCTGAAATGTTCCCCAACCCCCTGCACAACAGGGCCTCAGAGGGCGGAGGGGCAGCAGGCGGCATCGCAGATGCTCTGTCGCCCTGGGAGGCCACGGCCGTCAGCCAGGCCGACGGGAGCACCGAGCCAGAGCGAGCGGGCCCCGAGGGCCCCCCCAGGCCGCAGCTGGCAGCCGCTGGCACAAGTGCCGGGGAGCCAGGCCAGGGCCTGTTCCCGCGGATCGAGGCCACCCCGCACGGCAGCCCCACCGAGCCCCGGGCGGCTCTGGAGGTGAGGCTGTCGCCCAAAAGGACCCTCCCTGCGCCCCGGCGGCGGTGAGTCAGGGCGCGTTATGCAAGTGCCGGCCCGCCGGCCCCCGGCGCCCCCGCCCCCCCAACCGCGGTCTTTCACCCCCGCGCGGTTACGAAAGCGCGACCCCCTCCCCCCCGGGGCTATAAAGCGGCCGCGCGGCCCCCGCGGCGCGCTCGCCTCCCTGGCTCCCGCGCGCCCGGACGCCGCGGCCGGCCTGCGCGCATCTCGGGTGGTGAGCGGCGGGCGGCGGCCGGGCGGGGGCGGCGGCGGCAGGGGGCGGGCGGGCCGGCTGTCCGGCGCTCACCGCGCGCGGTTCCCGCAGGGCGGACTCGGGCGAGATGGAGTGGGTGTGGGCGCTCGTGCTGCTGGCGGCGCTGGGCAGCGCCCGGGCGGAGCGCGACTGCCGGGTGAGCAGCTTCCGAGTCAAGGAGAACTTCGACAAGGCTCGCGTAGGTATCGGCGCGGGGGCCCCGGGGGTCGCCGGGCCCCCGCCTTCTCCACTCCCGGCGGCCGGCAGCGCGGACACCCAACCTGTCCCCATCTTCGCCGCAGTTCTCCGGGACCTGGTACGCCATGGCCAAGAAAGACCCCGAGGGCCTCTTTCTGCAGGACAACATCATCGCCGAGTTCTCCGTGGACGAGAGTGGCCAGATGAGTGCCACGGCCAAGGGCCGAGTCCGTCTTCTGAAGTCAGTAGCCTTCGGGCGGCAGAGCCCTTTGCACTGCAGGGTCCCCCTGGCTGAGCGCCAAACTCTCACCGGGGAGGGAAGGGAGCAGCGGGTGCGGTGGAGGGAGGTAGCGCGTGGCCAGGCCTGGCTCAGGATCCCCTTGGCTTTTGCAGTAACTGGGACGTGTGCGCAGACATGGTGGGCACCTTCACAGACACTGAGGACCCTGCCAAGTTCAAGATGAAGTACTGGGGCGTAGCATCCTTTCTCCAGAAAGGAAGTGAGTAGTCAGCTCGGTGGGACTGTCTCAGGGGCTGGAGGGCATACCTGGCTAAAGCGCTCGGTTTCTTCTCTAGTGGCACCCTTGGAAAGAAGCAGGACCCCTCAGCAGGGCCTGAGGTTAAGGGGGTGAGATTGGGACTAGCTTGGGCCCCTCTGTGCTTCCACCCCTTCCCTCAGCTCAAAAACTTGGCCCAACATTAAAAGGACCTTTGAGCTTGTCAAGTGGACTCCTCCTGCTATTTTCCTGTTGAGCCTCTGTGCCAGACAGAGTGTGTAGCCTTCTCTGTGCTTAGAGCTCCCACCTCTCCAAGACCCAACCCACATCACCCCTCAACCTGGTTTTGCATTTCCTTTGTTTTTTTGGGCTAAATTCCTGAGACAGCTTGACTACTTGGGGCCCCAGCAGAGGCCTGATCCAAGGACATAGGGAGCCTGCTGGTGCATACAGCGGGCTCACTCCCAGGTGCCCTGCCTGCAGAGGCTGAGATTCCGAGTCAGGCACAGAATCACAGTGTTCGGAGTGGCAATGACCTCTTCCCTTTCTCCCAAGCACCAAAACTCAAATGAGGGTCAGGTTGTTGAGGACTCTCAGAAGAGTATCCTAAAATCTGACCTGATTGTGAGAGCACGTTCTTTCTACTTTATCCCTCATTTCTCCCAAGTTTCAATTCTGGAGTCTACTTGGCATCTAGAGAGTAATGCAAACCAGGGGGGACACATATCATGGGATTGTAGAGATGGAGAGTTAGCCCTGCAAAGGGGATTCAGTATACAGATGAATAAGCTGAGGCCAAGAGAAAGTAGTGCTTTGTGCATGGTCATGCAACAAGTTTAAGAGCCAGTGTCAGAAGCCAAGGGTTCCAACTCCCAGGCCAGGATTAGGTGGCCCTGAACAGCAGGGACTCCTAATACAGACCAACTTTTACAAAGTAAATTGTTTGAGCTCTCCAGTGAGATAGGCTGCAGGGGGTCGTTCAGGGAGTGGAGGTGGGTAGGGGGAGGACTCTCTTAGCTTGGTGATCCAGGTCAGATATGTCCTTATGTAGCCCATCTGCACGTGGAACATGCACCTTGACTCCCTCTAAAGTTGTGTGTTAGATGAAATTGCATTTTTTAAACCAAATTGCATCTTCAGTATTGATTTATATGGTACAGATGGAGATACTGTTTAACAAGGGGAGAAAAGCTTTATCCTTAGAAGTAATGCAAATTATTTCAAGTAATGCAGTGAACCTTCTAAAATGATTCATTTACTGTAAAAATATAGGTTCCAGAAAAATCAATACCAGGGGGCACAAGATTACTAATATTTAGAAAGTGTAAACACATCATGCTCTGGTGAATTCTGAGAGGCACTTCATAAAGGACTAGGATTCTCTTGGTAATTGGTTTGGGGAGGGTGGGAGAGCATCCAATGAGGAGGTAGGATTTTGCCTCCTCCTCCCCCTACCAAACCAGATTATTTCTGCTTTTACCTCTTGTACATTGAGATTCTCTTTAGTATTTCACTTGGAGAGAAAACAACATTAAAGTATTGAAAGAGATTGCTACAGATGTTGAGTAAAATAACTACAACATGGAAAGCTTAAGGATAAATTCTGTGTTACATTACCTTTCAGAAAAGAAGCAGTGCATCTCGTGGTTGAGCATGCAGGGTTAGAGTTAAATTGCCTGAGTTCAAATGCTAATGCAACCTACTACCTGTGGGACCTTGGATATGTTCCTTATCCTCCTGCCCTGGTTTCCTGATCTGCAAAACGAGGCAATCATAGCACCAAACTCATGGAGTCAGTCATCTTAAGAGGATGCAGTTGAGTTAGCACGCAAAAGCATTTGGAATAGTGCCAGCAACATACATTCTCTGTGAGTGGGTGATGTTATTACTGCTTAGTTATCTCCCCAGTCATAAAATAATACCTTTAGCTTCTGGGTTCAGGATGGGAGGACCCACAGAGGCTATCAGCCTCAAGTCCCTCATTTTACAAGTAAAGAAAATGAGGTCCAACTGAGAGCAGTGACTTGCTCAGGGATACAAGCTGATTAGTAGCACTTAGTGACACCTCTTTGCTCAGGGGATATAAAAGGGTGTGAACCATCCCTCCGTTTTCCAGGTCTCCCATAAACTGTATGATTGGTACCTGCCTGTGTTTTACATGCTTTCTTGGGTGGGGGGGTGAGGGGTTACAAACTGCTTACATTCCTCATGTTGATTTCTTTCTTCCTTGACGGTGGTCTGGCATTAAATGCTGACTTGGTCAGGAGGATTTGAAGGCCTCAGAGAATAGCCATCAATCTTGGTCTGCATTTCACCAAATATGTTTAAAATGAGGCACAAATATGCAGACAAAATAACTCAGGAACAAATGCTCCTTACATTTGCTGTCAAATTATTTTAAAATTAAATGTAAGAAATCTCTACAGTTGAGTATCAGGTTTCAGTGTCAGACTCTGGCATGGCTTCTGCCCCAGCCCTGGGCGTGCTCTGCACCATCCTCCCTCTGCCCCAGCTCCAGCAGCAGTGAGCGGGAAGTCTCAGGTGTTCATTCAGGACACCACCATCAGCCTTGGTGGAATACAGGCTTCACCATTGACTAGCCTCTCTGAACTTTGATTTCCTTAGCTGTGAAATGGGGATAAAGAACAGTCTCCATTTCATAATATTGCGAGGACGATTAAGAAAATGCATGAGAAATGCATAATAAGGGCTCAACATACATTAGCCATGATCATCATTGCTCTGGGCCCTCCCAGAAAGACCCGGACAAAGACTCTCCTTTGTCCATCTTCCAGATAAAGTCTCATTCTGCTGGGAAAAGGGCCGTTGTCAGGCTGAACTAAGAATGCAGGCCTGATTTGTCTACGTTCCTGGACCACTTATATCTAGATTAGCCAGGGCGCTTGTTAAAAATGTGGATTTGTGGGCCTAACCCAGACTTCCTGAATCAGAAATGCTTGGAGTGGGGCCTCAGAGCCTACATTTTTAGTATGATTGCTGCACCATGAAACTTGAGAGCCACAGCCCTAGATAACTCAATCCAAAGGGCTATCTCAGCTTCCTTGGGTCTCAAGGCCTCAGACTCCACTCACTTTGTCAGGGCCTATGGAGGTGTTTTGGGCAAATAGTCAGAAGCCACATCATACCCACTGTGTGGCTCGGCTGGACTCTTAGACCTGAGAACTGCAGTGAGCATCTCACCTGGGTTTGTCACTTCAGAGGCTTGTGGGACACAGGTGTAGCACACTGAAGGGACATGTGCCAGGCACACTGCAGTGAGTGTCAGCTTTTTAAGGGAACCAGGTCACCAGAGAGAGCTCCCTCCACCGAGTGTTTTCTTTGCTTATTTGACTTGCAGTCAAAACCTCTGAACTGGTCTGTGTGGATACAGGGTAGACGCAGCTGCAACATAACCCCGCTTCCTGGGCTGGTAGAGGGGAGTAGGGGCTCCCAGTCATACAGCCTTGATCCTTCTGTGTACAGAAATGTTTGGGGGTATTTGGCCATCCAGGGAGACCCACCCAGCTGCTGGGAGTGAGGAGCGTGGAAGACCGAGCTCAGTTTTTTGAGCAGTGCTCAGAAAGTTCATCTCTTGCCTTGGGAGGAGAGTCTGGTAAAGATTTATAGTCTCCGTCTTTGAACAATTTAGCCAGAAAGAGCCTGGAGATAAATCAAACCAACCTAGTCCTTCTTGTAAAGTCAAGAACAGTAGTCAGTTTTCCTAATCCAAGCATTGAGAATTACTTAGCTCCTATGTCAGAATTCACATTCTGGCAACAATTCTGGAAATAAGTGTTAAGCTGCAGATTTGCTGAGCTAATAGCTGCCTTGATCATGAATAGGGGTAACATTTCAAAGGAGAACGCTCTTGTGTCTGAGGGGTGGGCTGCTGGGGCACCTGTGACTGATGCCATGAGACCCATACCAGGGAGGAAAGGACTTCATTGGCCAGGAAGAGGACTCTGCCCAGATGCTCTGGACATGTAAGGGGAGCTGGCGGTTAGGTTGCAACCCAGCAGGCAGCCCGTGGTTTCTGTTTCTGGCCTGCCTGCCGAATAACTGCATGGCGGCTGCTTGAGCAGTCATATGTCTGGGCGCTCCCACCCTGGCCTCTGACACTGTCCTCGTGGGAAACCCTGGGAGGTGCAGGGGTGACTCATTCTTCCTCCTGGTGGGCCTGGAGGGAGCTGAAGAGGACTCCACCAGTCACTCCGTGCAGCTCTACTGCAAGCCGAGGCCAGCACACTGGGGTTCTCAGAGCCACGAGGCACACCCAGGACTGACTTGGGGTGAGCATGAGAGACCTCCCTGAATGCTCTAATGCTGGGGGTCCAGGCTCCTCCACATTCCTCATGGAACCCGACACAGAGCAGCAACCATCACTTGCTTCATGACCAGGGTGTGAAATGGAGACACAAAGGCTTTTTCTCATTTCTTTCCTCTCTTATCCCAATTTGCTTACTGCCTGGAGGCAGTGTGGTGTAGAGGTTAGGTGTGTGGGATCTAGAGTCAGATTGAATCCCAGTTTAGTCCTGCCCTCTGTGATCCCAGGTGAACTATTTAGTTTCTCTGGGTCTCAGTTCTTCACCTGTGAAATAGGGGTGATAGTGTACACTTTGGGGCTGACCTGAGGAATAACTGGGAAAACACTGGAGGTGTCTACACAGGGACCGGTGGCGCACAGTGAAGTGCTCAGAGAGTCATAGTCATGGTTATGTGGCAACGAGAATGCTAAATTAAGTGGAGATGTAGCACTTTTTACCAAAAATACAGTATTTGGGAAACCTGAGCATTGTTGTTTCTCTCACATACATTCTCATTAATGTTATTTCCCATTCTGCCTTTGCTGACATTTTTGCCACCTTTGTTTATACGTGCTCTTCATGGCTTACATTCCAGACTTCAGAGTAAATATAATCGAAATTCTTCAAGGGCTCAGCTCCATCTGTATCAGGGGAGCTCTGAAGAGTTACAAGATGCCGGGTGTGGGCATCTTGTGCCCCTAAGGCAAAAACTAGTCTCTTTTTGTTTCTGCATGGAGAAGTGAGTCAGGTTAGACTAACCTGAAATACAACAACCAGAAATAGAAAAGCCGTGAACCAGATCATCAGAGAGGCGTCCTCAGGGACTGAGAGCAGGAGGAAGGGTTAGTGGGCAGAGTGGGAACTGCCAAAGGTCAGGGCAGGGGACACAGCCTGCTGGTGAGGCTAACTACAAAGGGCTGTCAGCCACCAGCTGCGCAGGCAGGGATATTGCTGGAGGGTGGCTGGGGAAGACAGTGGTACAATGGCCTGTTCTGTGGTTTTGATGGCCCTGCCTTCTCAGTTATTTGGAAAGAAGCAGTCACATTGATTGTCAGGGTGAGAGATCATCATTGAAGTGAATGAGGACCCCCTCCACTCCAGGAGTTTTTCCTTGAAGGAGATCCTTTCTCCTTTTCCCAATTTCATAAAAGCTGTCAGAATTCTCTACAGTGTCTTGCTTCCTAATGAAATAAGCCAGTTTCAGGAAGTCTGATTTCTTGGGCCTGGTAGTGTGTTTCCTTGACACCTGAGCCCACCAAGGGAGGGACATTGGCCCCGTGGCTCTCTGGCTTGCAGATGATGACCACTGGATCATCGACACGGACTATGACACCTATGCCGTGCAGTACTCCTGCCGCCTCCTCAACCTCGATGGCACCTGTGCCGACAGCTACTCCTTCGTGTTTGCCCGCAATCCCAACGGCCTTCCGCCGGAAGTGCAGAAAATCGTGAGGCAGAGGCAGGAGGAGCTGTGCCTGGCCAGGCAGTACAGGCTCATCATGCACAATGGTGAGTGGCTGGGCAGGCCCAGGGCACTGGCTGGCTCTCTCTGAGGGTAGTGGGCAGTGAGCTTGAGCCCGCATACCAGTGAGATGTGCTTCATCTGCATGCAAGGGAAAAAGGGGAGTCTTAGGAGCCCCCTCTGAGTCCAAGTCTTGGCCCTTCTTGACTAGACCTTTCACTGGCCTTATCATGGGGCTGATGCAGAAGGAGTGGGCAAAAGCCTTTTTCCAAAACGCTAGCACTTTTAATTAAGTAAAACTGTAGGGGACACTCTCTTCCTTTTTATCTGCTATGTGAGGCCATTTGTGCTCACATGATCTTGCTCCTGGGGCTACATTCCCCAAAAATCCATTTTGATTGAATTAATATTATTTGGGGGATTGAGTGGCCCCAGTGAAGAGCTGGGTGACAAATGTGACCATTGGTGTAAAAGTTAAAGAGAGACATCACCATAGCAAGTTCAAACGGGAATGATTTCAGCAAATGCTCTTTTTTCTAATATGGAACTAAGTAAGCATTACATTGAAGAGCTGGTTTTCCTCATTTACATTTTTGAGATCTCCTAGAACAGCCATTGAATCTTTTTATGGATATTATCCTTGTCTGATCTTGATTTAAAAATCATTAATGTTCTGGAGGCAAGTGCCCAGTCTATTTTGAAATGACACTCACTCCCATGGAAAACTAGGTTTCAAAATCCAAATAGGGCAATTCTGAGATGTAGAAAAAAGAGAACAAAACTGAATTTTGCTGTTGGCCACCTAACCAGTTGATCCACACTCCACCAAACAGAGAGGAACCCAGACCAAAACCAAAAAATAATATTTGGATGCTTCAGTCTGAGGCAGCCTAAATGCAGGGCTGGTAAAGGATTTCAGCACAGTCAGGCTCCATGCCAAGCCTTCTACTTGCATCAACTCTCTTATTGCTCAGAGACACCTTATGAAGTAGATTTTCTCATTATCCACCTTTAGGAAGGTTCCCACGATCTCCAATAGTTAGCTGAGTTGTATGCAAAGCAAGGTTACTTTGCGACCCCAAAGCCCCTTGTGACACATGACACAGGACACAGTGAACATTGTACAAAACCACTAACAGAGTGGCTGAAGTCAGGCTGACTTGGCCATTTTCTGAAATAGGAGGATGTGCCCCCAACCCTTTGAAATGCATTGAGGCAAATGTAGGGCAAGAACACTATTTCATAAAGCAGATCCTAAGCTCTTGGTCCCCGATTTCCCCCAGAGAAACTCAAAGGTTTTTAGAAACAGCCTTCAGGATGTTTATGAATTACAACTGCGTGTCTAGCCTTAACCTTACAAGAAGCATCTGGAAAAAGCCGAGCCCTAAGGCCATCAGCATTATCACTATCTACATTTAACACTGAATCCATCTTTCTGTCATTAATGGCTTTGTTTTCTATATTTCAGGTTACTGTGATGGCAGATTAGCATGAAACATTTTGTAGGAACAGGAGGATGTCAAGTTTCATTTGAAAACTTCCCATTAACTCAGTCAGCCTTCAAATGTATCTTAGGAGTGTAGTTTGCCCCCCTCACCTCACCTCCCTTCAATATATGTAAAACCTTCCATATGCATAAAAATATGTGTGGGGATAAGTGAATCTGCGCTCAAGTGGATGTCTTTACTAGTTTTCTAAGGAATCATTTGAGGCTTAGGATTTCAGACTTTGATTTATTAAAATATACTCACCTGTTTCCTATGATTTTGGTTTGTATTTGTGTTTGCAGCTGTGAAAGTGACAAGTCCCACAAATGGTCGGGTAGGGCGAACTCTGTATACCAGGAGAGATTCTTTCCTCCCTGCTCCATGTGCCCTTTGGTCTGTTCTGCCTAATCTCCATTAATGACGGTGGCTTTTTCCAACTTCCTGAGAAAAGAGATTCCCCATTAATCCAGGAAGGCTTCAACTACCAGCCTGGCCAAGGCACGGAGGCCAAAACGGGAGGCGAGTGCAGGCCAGGCCAGCGAGCCAAGGCCTCAGTGGGCTGTCGGCCCAGGACGGGGACAATGGTGGGCTCCCTCTGACTGGGAGGTGTGGGTTGGGGTGACCTCTAGGCAACATCCCCAGCCCTTCATTGACTCTAGCACTTAATTCATTTCTTATTTCAAGTATGGCCAAAGTGCTAAGGAAGAGGAGGCCATGGGCTTCCCAGGGGGAATTGGGAGATGGAAGCCGGTCTGTGGGAGGGCCAAGGTGCCCCCTCCCTGGAGAGCAAGGAAAGGCTGGGGGAAGGAACAGAACACCAGCAGCCCACACCCTGAGCAGTGCCTGGGTGCGCTGATAGCCACATATAAAGCCTTTGCCTTGGTTTACCAGGAGTCCCAGGAGCCGCAGTTTCTCACCTTGAAATCAAGGCTTTGGCACCAGGGAGTCTTGATTTATCAAAATCCAGCTTGGCACATATTAGCTGTGTGATTTGGGGTGCGTTTTATGGTTTCTCTAAGCCTCAGTCTTCTCTTGGGAGACATGGGGAAACAGTATCTGCCTGATGGGCCTCACCAGGGCACTGGTGATGCCTGGCTGACACCCACGGACTGTGTCAGGACGGAGGGAAGTGCGCCTCTCCCTGCATGCAGAGAGCTCTCCTGGGTGCCTGCTTATCACGGGGCCACGGAGGCTCCTGGGTGCCACCTCAGTGCACTTCCTTCTCCCACCAGAGGGTGGAGACAGATGACCGGGTGGGAGGTCTCTGCCTGTCATGGAACAGCGGCGGGCTATCAGAGCTGGCTCTTTAGCTTTTGTTTGACAAGCTGGGAGACCCATTAGATAGCCACACATCACTTCAGAAAACAGTTTAATTGACCAAATCTATTAACTAGAGATGAACAAAAGATCCCTGACCTCTTTTCTCAAGCTTGTGATCACCACAGATCTTACTTCAGAAGCAAGATACTCAAGAAACCCCACAAGCAATGGTGACCACAGGTGCTGGTTTATTTGGCCACAAAGATTTGTTGAGCACCTATTGGTGCCAGGCCCTGAACTACTGCACATTCCAGCCACTGGCCATTGGTGTGTTCCTGGGTTGGTTCCATATTTTTCTCTCTTTCCTCTCTCCTCTCCCAGGAATATTAAATAAAACCATAGATCTGTAAACATTACCTGATCACTTCCAGCATTGTATCTTCAGGCCCAAGCTCCACATCCCTGCGCCCAGCTGCCTACTCTCCATCTGGATCCCACTGGGGTTTCAAACTCATATGCTCCAAATGAAGCTCTCAGCTGTCCCACCTCCCAGTCTTCTCCTGGCCCTCCCCATTTCTGTTGCTTCCCCTACCAACCAACCACTGTCAGGAATCACCCTTGAATCCTCTCCTTCCCTCACCTTCTACATCCTTTCCTTTGATAGATCATGTGTGCTCTGCCTCCCCAAAGGATGTTCAAGATCATTTCTTAGAGTTCCCCTTTGATGCCCTCCACCTCCCATCTTTCTTTTGGACTTCAGTAGCTACCTAACTGGTCTTCATTTTTGTTCTTGCTCCTTAAAGTCCATTCCCTGCAGAGCAGCCAGAGTAATACTTAAAAAACACCTATCAGGTCTTACCTGTCTCCAATTGCAAACCTTCAGCGGCTACCCATTGAGCACAGAATAAACTCCCTACAATGGCTTCCCAGACCCTCCATAATCCCACCCTGTCGCTTCTCAAGTTTGAATTCCATTCAATTCTCTGGTGGCCTCCTGAAGGGCGCTCCTCTGTCCCAGCATTAAGAGCAGTTCCTAGCGACCCAGTTAACAGCTTGCTTTGCTTTTCTAGTCTTCTTTCTGCCCACAGGTACACTAGGCTCTGCACCAGCCCCATTCCTCTGGATTCACATCATTGGCTCTTCCTGGTGGTTTACCTTTTGGCCCAATTATCACCCCTTGGAAAGGTCTTCCTAGACTACTCCCTACCCATCTAAATTGGCATCACTGTCCTATTTTCTTCATGATGCTAATTCACTCTATAGTGCTGTATTATTTATTGATTTATGCTTAGCTTTTCTCCCCCAATTAGAAGTAAGCTCCATGAGGGCAGGGGCCATGGCTGTCTGGCTCCCTGCTGTATTCCCAACACCAAGAACACTAGCCACAGCGTGTACTTAAGAGGCATCTGACAGTGGATCAGTGAAGGGAATCACTCATGCTCTCATTTGCAAACATTTTGGAGTCATCCTATCTGCTCTCTGATACCATGACACAGCATCTCCTAAAGGGGTCCGTGGCATTTCCTATAAATGAAAAGATAAAACCACCTTTAATGGTTCCTTAGGAATTCCTCAAACACTCTTGACATTAATGAACGATCCTGAGGCCTTGCAAATCCAGGCTGGGAACCTAGAGTGGCCATGACCCTTCAGAGGAGAAATCTTGATCCTGGATCTGTTCCTCTTCAGAAACCAGCAAGGTGTGGCTTTACATGTAGGAGATGTCATTGCTGAACGGTTATAAATAAAATTTTATTAAATTCAACCATATTACAAACACACTGAAAAAGTTCATATTTAAAGGAACCCATAACAAATCCTTGGGTAAAGGATAAAGCTGTTACACTGACTGATCACCCCTTAATTTACTGGTGCCATAAATGCGTAATTGCATAGGTTATATTTTCTTAAAGCAGGTACACTGGTGTGATGGTCCAGGAATTAACTCCCTGTGAAAATGTACCATGGCTTGCCAGAGAGTGACAAACTGTGACTATAGAGAAAAGTTAATTAGTTAGAAATAATAGACAGGTCATTTTTTCTGACAGATGTGTCTGTAAACATGGCTCCCTTTTCCAGGAAGAAGAAACAGTGAAAGATTTTCCTCCATTCATTCCTAAACAGTGACATGTTGTAGAGAATGGGGTTTAGGGCCGAGTTGGCGAAAGTGAAAGCCACCACCCAGAAGAAGAGGGTCGGCCAGATGACCAGGTCCTGCTTGAAGTTCTGGATCAAGATGAGGAGGATGATGATGATGATGGGGCTCCACATGGTGAAGAACGAGGCCATGAGCAGGAAGAGGGTGCGGAAGAGCCGCAAGTCTTGCTGGGACACGCGAATCTGGTGGCTCTCCGAGTACGCCAGGCTCACTGTGAGCCTTTTCCTTGACGCCTTTGTGATCTGCAGGGACACAAAACAGAGCTGGAGCTACAGTTTACTGCGGGACATCAGGGGCTTTGATTTTAGAGAGGCAGGAGGTGCGGGAGCTGGAATCTGCCATCCCTCCTGCACTGGGACCATTTGGCTGGGAACCTTGTGTGGAGAGAGTGCCCTTCTCAGAGGCCTGGCACACTGCCCACACTTAGAATGTGATGGAGAAATGGGGTGCCTGGCTGGTCTCCTGAGAAATAAGGCAGAAAACATCCACATTGTAAATGGGGTGAATGAGGGGAAGTGAAAAGCCTCAATTGGATGGTCTAGAAAAGAGAGAATGAGAACAAAGCACATTGCTATAGTCTGAATGTGTCCCCACCAAATTCATATGCTGAGACATAATCCCCAAGGTTATGATGTTAGGGGGTGGGGTCTTTGGAAGGTAACTGGGTAATGAGGACAAAGCCTTCATGAATGGGGTTAATGCCCCATGAAAGAAGCCCAAGAGAGCCCCTGTGGCCCTTGCACCACGTGAAGTGAGGCAGCAGTCTGCAGCCTAGAGGAGGGCCATCCCCAGCAGCCAGCAATGCCGCCTTGCTCACCTCAGACCTCCCGTCCCCAGAGCTGTGAGAATGTATGAGCCAGCCAGACTGTGGTATTTTGTTATGGCGGCCCAAAGAGTTATTTCGCCTTCTGTGCCCTCCATTTCCATGGCCCAGAAATGGCCAAAGTGAACCGTTTCCTGTTCTACCACCAGCTACTTGGAGATCGACCAACAGAAGGGGACAATCATCTCACATGCGCCACCATGCAAGAGATCAGGGGCACCAAAAGAGCAGCCCACCCTTCTCCTCCCTGCCTAACTCCCATCCTGTGCTGTGGGGAGAGGGAAGCATTCAACTGACCGTGACATTGATGGTTTAAAATAAGCAGGCATAACAAAAGTGACTGGAAAGTTCTGGAGTGGGACCTAGGTGACATTAGAGCTCCGCCCCACTCAACCAGGAATTGATCAGAGCGCTGCTAGTGACATTTGTTGAAAAATCAAAGCTGTTTCATATTTGTGGCCTCAGTTGAGAGGTGACGATTGGGGGTAAACATCCTCATGCGTATCTCTGTGCACCTAGGTTCATGTATCAGTAGAAAAAAATCCCCCAGAATGGAACTAGCAGTTTGGAACCTCTAGTATTTTGCACAAATGAGCAGGGCCAGCATTATAGTGGAGGGGTTGCAGGCAAGGAAGACAACCCTGGTTACGTGGGTTCAAAGGCAGTTCTGTACTCTTCACTTAGGAGATCTTACAGGCACTGCTCCCTGGCTCCCCTGCCCTGTCTGAGGGTCTTGCTTTCTGCATCAATCAAAGAGGCTGGTTGTTATTTGTAGGTGGAATGGCCTATCAACTGAGGCAGGATGACCATATTAAAATAAAGCCCTGCATGTCTCTCATCCCACGGCCCCACGTGAAAACGTTTGGAACATACAAACATGTGTAACACCTCAGAACCCTAGCATTGAAGCTGAGTGGGGCCCCGCATCATTTCTCAGCACTTCTCAGACTTTACTGTGCCTGTGAGACATACAGCATGACCTTGTTTAAATGTAGATTCTAACTCGGCAGGTCCAGGGTGGGGCTGAGGTTCAGCA